TGTTCATACCATATCGCAGTGGATCTTCCTTCCGTAACTTTGGCTCTGTGGCGACTTTTGATAGTTGAGAATATTTTCTTCTTGATTTGCTCCTTATCTGTGAAAAACTTGAAGGTATTTACCTGTACAACAGGTAAAGCAGTGGCAGTTTTTGCTAGTGCATCTGCCTTTTCATTACCATCTGTGCCAATGAGACTTGATACCCAATTTAGGAATATCTTGAGGTTATCTTGAGATGATTTCGGGGCTTTTTAGTGTCCCCGCGGCCCGGTCCTCGACCAGGCCTCCACCCCCAGGAAGCAGCCCGTGACAGCTGACTAACACCCAGGTACCTATTTTACTGCTAGGTAACAGGGGCATAGGGTGAAAGAAACTCTGCCCAATGTTTCTCGCCGGCGCCTGGGATCGAACCCAGGACCACAGGATCACAAGCCCAGAGTGTTGTCCGCTCGGCCGACTGGCTCCGGCCGAGTGATTGACAGTCCTAGATTCTGGGCTTGTTTTCCTATATGTTGGATTTCTGTGATGAGATGTATATTATCTCTGTGCTGGCTAGATAACAATGCCTGGAGCGAAGATTTAGAGTCTGTATGAATGATGACATCATTTAAATTATTCTCAATTGTATAATTTATGACCTCCTTCAGGGCATATAATTCTGATTGTTATGTTGAGCACCCACTATTCATGCTCCAGTAAGCTTCATGGTTGGTAGTGTAAACTGCTGCCCCAGCAGAACCTCTTTCTTGATCAACTGATCCATCTGTGAAGATGTGAGTTGTTGTAGGTCTTGAGATGGTTTCCATTTGTTGTTCTATGACCGTTTTAAGAATCTGCGAGTCACATGCTGATTTTTTAACTGATAATCCTTCAATGATTATCCTGGCTTCTGGATAATCCTGGATCTCAGAGTACAATCTTTTCAGATGTGACAGGAAACACCGGCTACAAGGTGGGGTCAGCCTCTACATTAAAGACACTCTCATCTGTACTGAGCTGCTAAACACCACAAATGATGTGGTGGAAGTGCTGATAATCAAAATAGAGATCGTAAATGTAGTTATTGTCCGTGTATATAAGTCACCGGAGGCAAACCCACAGTAGTTTAAAGACCAACTAATGAAAATAGAACACTGCTTGGAAAATCTCACAAATCAAGCCCCGAACATCATCCTGCTTGGGGACTTCAACCTACCGCACCTGAAATGGAAGTACCTGGCTAATACAGTAATATCAGAAAGAATACCAGGAAGTAGCCTAAATGAACAGGCACATGCAAATGACCTGCTACGGATGTGCGACAGGTTTTCCTTAAACCAACAAAGAGTAGAACCAACTAGGAAAGGAGAACACGCTGGACCTCATTTTTAATAAACAGATAAACTGTGAGAAAATAAACCAGGACTTCACAGAAATAAACTGGGAAGAACAGCTAGAAAATTTAAACGTGAACCAGTGCCTGGAAAAAATAAGCTCAGTAGCACTAGAAATATGTTCAAATAGCATACCCCTAAGAAAAAGGAGATGCAGATTGGAACGGGAACGTCGCTCCCTCTATATGCGAAGAAAACGAATCGCGGAACAACTTGAGAGTCGCACCCTATCTCAAGAACGGCTAAGAAGGTTAGGTAGAGAAATAGAAACAATTGAACTCAAGCTACAGGAATCATACAAACCCAGGAGAGGCAAAGAGAGCAAAATGCCATCAGTGAAATAGAGAGAAATCCGAAATATTTTTCTCCTATGCAAAATCAAGATCAAAAACCACATCTAGTATCGGGCTCCTGCGAAAGGGAGATGGAACTTTCCCCGATGACAACAAAGAAATGAGCGAGTTACTGAGGAAGCAGTACGACTCTGTTTTCAGCGAGCCATTAAACGCACTAAAGATTGATAACCCAAATGAATTTTTCATGGATATGATACCAACATCAAATCATATATCAGACGTCACCCTATCCCCACTGGATTTTGAAGAAGCCATAAACAGTATGTCTATGCACTCTGCACCAGGCCCTGATTCTTGGAACTCCATATTCATCAAGAACTGTAAAAAAACACTATCGCAGGCCCTTCACATTCTTTGGAGACAAAGCCTAGATACTGGCGTTATTCCTGACATAATAAAAACAGCAGAGATAGCACCACTCCATAAAGGAGGTAATAAGGCAGAGGCAAAACATTACAGACTGATAGTACTAACATCACACATTATAAAAATCTTTGAGAGAGTGCTAAGAAGTAAGATCACAAAATACATGGAATCACAACTTCTCCATAACCCCGGAAAACATGGTTTCAGGACAAGGCGCTCTTGCCTGTCACAGTTGCTGGACCACTATGACATGGCATTAGATGCCATGGAAGACAAATAAAACGCTAATGTAATTTACACAGATTTCGCAAAAGCCTTTGACAAATGTGATCAAGGTGTTATTGCACATAAAAAGCATTCAAAAGGAATTACCGGAAGTATAGGCAGATGGATCTACATCTGACTTATAGATTTCCTGACTAATAGACACCAATGTGTCAACAAAATAAAATCCGGTCCATCAACCATGAAGAGCTCAGTCCCCCAGGGTACTGTGCTTGCTCCACTACTTTTTCTCATCCTCATATCGGACATAGACAAGGACACAATCTATAGCACTGTATCATCCTTTGCAGATGACACTAGAATTTTTATGAGAGTAGACAACATAGAGGACACAGCAAACCTCCAATCAGATGTAAATCAGGTCTTTCTATGGGCTACAGAAAATAATATGGTGTTTAACGAGGATAAGTTCCAGCTCATGCGCTTAGAAAAAATAAAAATATAAAAATGGAAACCACGTATAAAACTCAGTCATATCATAACATAGAACGAAAAGGCAATGCAAAGGATTTGGGTGTACTCATGTCGGAAGACCTTACCTTTAAAGAACGCAATAAAGTAGCCGTCACAACTGCAAGAAAAATGACAGGTTGGATAACAAGAACTTTTCAAACTAGAGATGCTATACCGATGATGATACTCTTCAAGACGCCAGTGCTCTCTAGAGTGGAGTACTGCTGCACAATGGCAGCCCCTTTCAAAGCTGGAGAAATTGCTGACCTGGAAAGCGTGCAGAGATCCTTTACTGCTAGAATCCACTCAGTAAAACATCTAAATTACTGGGACCGACTAAAGAGCCTAAATCTGTATTCCCTTGAGCTCAGGCGGGAGAGATACATAATAATTTACACGTGGAAAATAGTAGAGGGGCTGGTCCCAAACCTGCACACAGAAATAACATCACATGAGACCAGAAGGTATGGCAGGATGTGCAGAATACCCCCAGTGAAAAGCAGAGGTGCAACAGGTACTCTGAAAGAGAACTCTATCAATATCAGAGGCCCGAGACTGTTCAACACGCTTCCACTACACATAAGGGGCATAACTGGCCGACCCCTCACAGTGTTCAAGAGAGAACTGGATAAGACCCTCCAAAGGATACCTGATCAACCAGGCTGTGATTCGTACGTCAGGCTGAGAACAGCCGCGTCCAATAGCCTGCTTGACCAGTCCAGCAACGAGAAGGCCTGGTCGACGATCGGGCCGCGGGGACGCTAAGCCCCGGAAGCACCTCAAGGTAAGGTATGATTATCTTTAGACTCGATTCTTCCCATGGAGGAGGCTGCCGAAAGTGTTGATATGGTCTATTTTCCCCTTTGTTTTTAATGGTCCATTTCAAGTACACTTTCTCTAGAATCTTGGCCAGATTATCCGTTCATGCACTTGTTCTATAGTGAAGGTTTCTCTGAAGCGATCTGTGTATGCTATCTTTGATTGACAGTCTGGCAGTGATTGCAACAAGTTGTGCTGTTATGGTGGCTATTCTTTGTTTGATCCTGTTTTCTAAGGCTGGTAAGTTGGTTTCCATTCTTAGATTCACTCGACGCGTCCATGTAGGTGCTCCCAGCATTGTTCTGAGGGCATCATATTGAAACAATACAGTTTCACAGAAACACTTCCAGTTTATCCCATTGGTTATCACTGAGGGATGTAAGAGCAGGAGCAGCATAGTCAATGAGTGACCCACCTGCTTGAACGTAGTACATTTTGAGTACTGGTAGAGATGCACCATCTCTAAGACTTGTCAGGGAGCGCAAAGCTGAGTTTCTGGCTTTACAGCGTTGCCAAAGATATTCAATTTCTTGAGTGAATTTCAACTGGCAGTCTATTATGACTCCTAGGTATTGAAAAGAGGTAACTCCACTTAATTTCGTGCCCTTGTATTGCGAGTCTGATGTCTTGAGTTCTCATTTTAAAGGTCATTGCTTTGGTTTTATTGTTTATTTTTTCTTCTATACGTTTCGTTTCCCTGCTGATGATGTCTAGGCATTTTTGTGCATGGTTCCTGGCGCCTTTGCCATTGATGATGACCACAAAGTTTTCCGCATAGTTAAGCAGTTTGGCTTTTGGTAACTTGAGCTTTACGAATTGTTCCATGAGACAGTTGAAGAGGAATGTGCTTAGTATTCCTCCCTGTAGAGTCCTATTTTCCAGCCTCTTTGAGGAAGATGTTTTCCTTTGAAATTTGACTTTGGCTTCTCGGTTAAGCAGGCTTCCTTTGGCAAAGGCAAGAGCATGTCCTTTGATATCCTTATGCACCAGCCAGCACAGTGTAGCTGGAGCATTGACTAGCTCCAAGGCTTTTTCTAGGTCTAGAAAAATAAGGATTCCTGGTTTGTCATTGATTTGATCCAGGAGGGAGGTAAGGCATTCTGTGGTTCCAACGCCTTTTTTATATATTATATTAATATGCTATATTAATAGCTGTTTTTGTGGCAAAGTGATAACTAGTCAGTACATGGTCAACTGACCAATGACACAACTCATAAATACTGGTGTAGACAAACGTGAGGTCCAGCTTTCCCCCCTCCAATATGGGTTGGTTCTGTCGAGTTAGGCTTTGTTTTTGAATCCTTGGATATTCCGTGTATAATCTTGAGATTGTCCATTATTCTGTTAGAGTTGAATCCATTGAGTCCATGGTGGTTTCTAAAGTGCTGTTTTCCCCGACGGCTTGTGTCTTCTTGGCTGGAGTGGAGACTGCCATTGGGTGCTGAAACAATTAAGTTTCGTCACCTTCTTCGACTTCTACTTCGTAAACCTTTTCAGGTAGGGCTTGTAGAAGTGTGGAAGAAATATGTTCAGTAGATTGTTTTTAACTCTGTTAACATTTCCTTCCTTGACTGAGGGTTGGTCTGTTCCAGTGCTTGGAATGCTTTGTTAAGCATCTTGCTGAAGGTCTCTGTTAGGGAGGCAATAATCAATGGAACAGTAGTCACTTGATACGCCTTTGGCTGTCTTTCTTTTTTCTTTGTAGGTGAGGAGACTCTTGGTTGGGCCGTGGGGTTTTTGCTACATCCAGTTACTGAGGCATTTGATGATGTAGGGATCGTCATTCGTGCTTAGGATGTCTTGGAGGCAATAGCAGGTGAATTCCTTTTCCTGCGCTGACCTGTTCGGTTGTTATTGCCTTGTAGAGCAGTGCTTTGTTTTCTCCAGTTATTCGAGGACCTGTTCTTGTTTAGATTGGAAGGAATTGGTGCGTTAGTCTGTTGGTGATTTTTATTTTCATTTATTCGGACTTTCCAAGGAGTGTTCCACTGGCTTTTAACTGAGGATCTGGTAGATTGTGGTCTTGGAGTTGTGACTTTGGGTTGCTGGGTAGATCCGAAGGCTTGTATTCCTTTTACCCTTTCTGGACATCGTTTGTTCCAGGTGTGATGTGTATCCCCGCAGTTTGGACATTTTGCTTTCGTCCGTTTGCCTTCTTCATGCAGATTTTTGCATATGTCGGTGTTGTGGAACTCGCTGCATACTCCACATCGTTCCGGATCTCTGCAACTATCTTTATGGTGGCCGAAGCGCTGACATCTGTACAGCGCATGGGGTTCTGGATTGTACAACCTTAGACTGAATTGTCCATAAATCCCAATATTCAGAGTGATGATGCGAAGTCCTTTTATTGATACAAGCACCTGTCTTGTTTCTACAGTGTCGTGCTTACACCTTTCCGCTGTGTGATTTTGTGGTATTCTAAGAGCCTTTTTGCATTGACTTCAATTGGGAAATGTTGTACTATCATCTTGGTGACTTTTTCCCCTGGTTTTAGTTCAACTAGGTCTCCCGTATTCCTGAGGTTTGTAATTATATCTCGGTTAGCTGTGGATATGTTATATCTACCTCTAATGTCAAGTTTGACTGTGAAATCTGATCTTGTGTGATCTTTTTCTGGTGCGGCAATGTAAGCATAAGTCGGACCATCTACTGTTTTTTTAGTTTTTGAAGATAGTCCTTGGCATTGGTTTGGGGGCGGCTCTTGGCTTCTGACTGGCTTCTAAATTGATTTTTTTGGTTCTTTTTCGTTTGTTTCCTTCAATTTGACAAGGTGGCTCATTGTGAGTAGGGTTATCCTCCGGTTCATTGTTCCTGTTATCTTCAGCCATTTTCTTTGCTCTCGCCACGCGATTACTGTGTCCCTCTGACCTCAACAATTTCAGAAGGATGGCCAGGAGAGTTATTACCTTGGGGGACATGGTCGCACTGCACTGAATTGCGCAATGATAAGGAACGTGAACTGTACAACCTGTCCTTTTAAAAAGAACGTCGCTTTTGGCCGTTTGCCCGTATGGCCGAATTTGGACGTAATTTGAAAATGAAAAAAAAATTGAAAATAAATTTGGGATTTTTTTTTTAACAACAGTAAGTTAAGGGTCCTCTGATAGGTTAGGTGGGCAGGAAATTCTCATAAAGTTTCAAAACGGTATGAAAAACGTTAATTTAAAGTGTCCTCTTATAACCTCTGCGCGTACGCCGGACTACTCAAACAGAAAACGGAACAGAACGTCACTTTTGTGAGTCGATTTCATTTCAAATTACGTCCAAATTTAGCCATATCCCGCATACGAGCCAAAAGTGATGTATTTTTAAGAGGACGGGTTGAACTGTAAGCTTGTCTCTCCTCTGAATCTGGTAATGATGAATTTTCCATGCTTTACAAAGGCTTATATTCGCTTGGAGTGAGGTAGTACAGGACGTAATTGAGATGAACAAGTGGATGAAGGCATAATGGATATTAATAGGCTATTAAATGCCTATGCTCTTGCTTCTATTGTCTCTGTGTTGGTTCGGGGTCTTGAGGTGGGTAGAATGTAATTAGGTGTTAACTAGTTGCTGATTGCTGGTCTTGACTTTTTGATGTGTAGGGCCTCGCTGATGTCCAGTCTTCTGTTGTCGTTATTTCTGTCGATTATTTCAGTGTTGCTTGTTAAGATGTCTCTGGTGATGATCTGGTGGTGTGAGGAGATTATATGCTCCTTGATGCAGCCCTATTGCTTGTGCATTGTTAATCGCCTAGAGAGAGACGTTGTTGTCTTACATATATACTGAGATCTTTGGGGCTGACAGTCCCCAAGTGAGCATGTGAAGGTACATGCCCACTTGGGGACTGTCAGCCCCAACGATCTCAGTATATAGTCAACATAACAACGTCTCTCTCTAGGTGATTAACAATGCACAAACAACAGGGCTCTATCAAGGAACATGTAAGCTCCACACACAACCAGATCATCACCAGAGGCCGACAGCAGGAGACTGGACATCAGTGAGGCACTACATATAATTAAGAAGACCAGACCAGCAATCAACAAGCAGCTAACACATAATTACATTCTATCCAGTTCAAGACCCAGAGCAAACGCAGACATCAAAGGATCTTAAGTCTACAATGCTACGCAGTAATTGGTTCCACAAGTTCATAACCCTGTTGCCAAACCAGCAATTACCCGGGTCTTTCCTAGATCTAAACTTATCCAATTTATTCCCATTGTGTCGTGTTCTATTAATATCTCCCTTGTTATGGCCCATGCACCCACTTGTACACTTCAATCATATTACTTCTAACTCTTCGCCTTTCTAGAGAATGTAAATTAAGCTTTGTCAATCTCTCTTCATATGAAAGATTTCTAATTTTCACACCCGAAACGCTATGCGTGTTTGTGGCTTTGCAAGAATGTAAAAATACCATTCTTATGTAATCTCACAATCCCATTGCACCTTCTTGTGAATAAAAAAAATTATTGTTATAATTTGTGGGATTAACTTTGTCATCCTACGCTGGACGTGTTCAAGGGAATTTATATCCATTCTATAGTACGGCGACCAAAACTGAACTGCATAATCAAATGAGGCCTAGCAAGAGTAAGATATAGCTGAAGAACAACACCAGGTGTTTTATTACTAACGTTTCGATAAATAAATCCCAGTGTCCTATTTGCCTTATTATGTACATTTATGCATTGATTTTTCGGGTTTAAATTCTTACTAATCATAACTCCCAGATCCCTTTCGTAATCCGACTTCGCAATCTCAACACCATCTAGCTCGGATCCTGTAATTCTATAGTCATTACATAGCCTCGAAACCTTAAATTTGTCAGCATTAAACTGCATCTGCCAATCTTTTGACCATTTCAAAACCCTATTTAGATCTCCTTGAAGTGAATATTTTTCAGTGTTTATTTCACTCCCGATTTTCGCATAATCGTCAAATTTTCACATATTGCTGCTCAAACCTGAATCTAAATCATTTATATATATTATGAATAATAGAGGTTCCAGGACAGAGCCTTGAGGCACTCCACTTACAACATTTTCCCATTCTGACTTAACCCAGATTTATAACCATGCCCTAATCCAACTTAATATAGCACTCCCAATACCTTGAGCCTCTAACATTTTATTCAGTCTTTTATGTAGCACTGTATCAAAAGTTTTACTAAAATTTAGGTACACAACATCACAATCTTTACCACTATCAACTGCCTCAATAATGCTGGAACAGAACAATAGCAAATGTGTCAAACATGGACCTTAGTAAAACATAGTAAAAACTTAGTAAAACTTAGTAAAACCATGTTGAGAATCATTCAGATAATTAAAACTGAAGTAATGTTTAAATTTATACATAGCTGTTTGATTAATGTGGCACATCTCCATCAAATTAATTTATAAATTACTGATATCTTGAATGAATAAGATTACTTGTTATTCAGAATAACATGACATAGGTTCCCAGAGCAGAATATATAAAGCAACACATTTAGGGCAGAAATGATGCAGCGGAATAAAACTCCAAAACAATGACCTTAAATGGCCAGAATACAACTGCCTGACTAACGGTCTCACACTATCAGGATGCAACTCCTTTGTCACCATACTCAAATGGCCAGGATAACAGCGCGCGTTCACCAGCATCAGATAACGAGGAGAGAACTGCCTGATCAATGGCCTCTCTCACTCCCCCCCCCCCCCCACACACACACACACTCGTGTTTGACCCAGACGACGCTTAATCAATACCGAGGGCTGATTCTGGCTTCCCTCAGCACGCACTTGTTTCTCCTCACAATAATCACTAACCTTCCTCACGTAATTCTCACATTATTCCGCTGCTCGCCAACACTACATAAAAGCTTTGTTGAAAAAGGTACACACATAAACTCTGGCAATTTGCCCCATGGGAAAGTCTTTACTAGAACTTTACATATATATATATATATATATATATATATATATATATATATATATATATATATATATATATATATATATATATATATATGCAAACAAGCCTGAATGGTCCCCAGGACTATATGCAACTGAAAACTCACACCCCAGAAGTGACTCGAACCCATACTGCCAGGAGCAACGCAACTGGTATGTACAGGACGCCTTAATCCACTTGACCATCACAACCAGACATAATGAAGTGATAGCCGAAGCTATTTGAACCACTTCCTCGCCGGCACTCGGATGGTAATCTTGGGCATAGCATTTTATCAAATCACCTCATTCTTTGGGGCACACGTGAGGAACACAAATGCGAACAAGCCTGAATGGTCCCCAGGACTATATGCAACTGAAAACTCACACCCCAGAAGTGACTCGAACCCATACTGCCAGGAGCAACGCAACTGGTATGTATGAGTTTTCGTAACTGAGTTTTCAGTTGTATATAGTCCTGGGGACCATTCAGGCTTGTTCGCATTTGTGCTCCTCAC